TGAAAAAACTACAGTGGATGTCAAAGTTGACTCATACTCATATGTAAGAACATTGATGTTCGTCCTGAAACGTTTTTTTGTTAACCCTCTTACTTGTTTTTCTATACCTAGTTCCACATCCATGCATAAGCACTTCTTTTATATTCTTGACTGATTGAATATCTTTATTTATGTATCTACATTTCATCAGGTGTCGACAAAAGTGACTGCTTTTGGTGTCTTGCCGAGTACCACAGCTGCCCAATCTTGTGTCTAGTTTGTCGATTTTTCGTTTTCTAAAAAGAATCTATGGTTGTCCCGCCTCCTATGAATGTTTTGAATGTATTATAAGATTTGATATCAAATATCATCGTGTCAGGCTTTGCAACTTTGCATATATCATTATTTTTTGCGGATTAGCATCTTTCCTTCAGTTACATTTTTCAATTATATGGCATTGTGTCTGGTTTGTTCGGTTTCTGTTTCTGAGGCAGAATCTATGGTTTTCTCGTGTCCTTTGATTGTTTTCAATGTATTATATGATGTTCATTAATGCGTAGCAATTGATATGGACAAGATTTGATGGCCGAAATGCTGTAAAATTTGCGACGAATATTTATATACGAATTTTGCGACCATTACAGTTCGTGGCTAATTTGCAACGAATAAGTAGCGACGAATCAAGTTCGTGCCAAATTTCCGTCCACTACATTTTGCGACGAATTTTACGACGAATTTTGTGACGGATTTTGCTACGGATTTCGCGACGAATTTTGCGACGAATAAAGTTCGTGGCTAATTTGCGACGAATTTTGCGATGGATTTGCGACGAAATTTGTGACGAATTTTGCCACGAATTTTGCGACGAATTTTGCGACGAAATATTTGCAACGAACTTTGCGACGGATAGTGTTCGTGGCTAGTTTGCGACGAATTTTGCGACGAATTATTTGCGACGAATTTTTTTCCGTCGTAAATTTGCGACGAAAATTGAAATTTTCCGTCGCAAAAATTTGCGACGACCTAGCAGCGACGGAATTTTTTCCGTTGCTAAATTCGTCGCAAAAACGATTTGCGACGGATTTTTGCGATTGCAAAATCCGTCGCAATAAACATGTTTTTTTGTAGCGAAAGTGGAGGAGAATGAGAGATCTAGCTCAAACCCTTCTCTCCATGGCGGTTGAAGAAGAAAGTTGTGTGAAAATGAGAGGGAAAGGAAGAAACACTAGGGAGGAGCGAGGCAAAGCGGGGCTCATCTCTTTATTAGTTAACTAATTAGATTCTATAATCTAGATAATATCAAGCAGATTTAGTTACTTTTTTGAACAACTTTCTCATTATTTTTAATTAGTATATCTTTAGGAGTTTTGCGTTATTTATATTCACATCACTCTTTTTTTTAATCAGATACCTTTTGAAAATTGATAAAATTGATAGTACTTCTCAAAATTGCACTCCCTGCATGTGCGCCTTCTTCGTGTCTGAGTTTCACTTGAGTTGCGAATAGCAGTTTTGTTATCCTCGCTTTTACCGCCTCACATGGTATAGGCGCGGGTTAGTGTCGTGGGAACACGAAACTCGACTTATACGGCTTTGGGGATAACCATCTAGCCAGCGAAGTTGGGGAGGTGTAGGCTCTTTGACAAGGGTATCTCAACAAGTTATTGAACATCGATTGAATGCGACGAGTAATCCATTGGAAGACCGAACATAATGACATATGGGTTTGAAGCTCTTGGCTCAAGGAGAGAACTGGATTGGGATAACAAGGGATAATTGTCCAAAAAATTCTAAACCTATTGTACGGCAGCCAATTCAAAGATTTAGTTAGAATTTTCATGAAAATCCAATCAAAGATTTCAATTTGGAATGTTTCTAAGAAGAGCCATTCTGAATGTTGGAGATGACGCGGATAAATATGTTTTATCGTCAAACACTTCACAATTTGAGAAATGGTTTTTTTACCAATGTGGCAATCGTGTTTTGAATCACGACATGTCCTGTTCATGCATCGACACTTCTCTAGCACTCTATCTCGAGGGAACCGGCCTTTGCTCGACCTCCATAACGTCGATACCGGGCCTTTTTCGACGCCGGTCAAAAGGACCCCTTGACAACGATGGATCCATCAAACTACAGGAAGAAGGCCCATAGCCTCATTCATTGGGCTGTCATCGCTACCTGTGATATAATTGAGGTCCGGGCTTGAGCTATTGGAGATTATCTACTCGCCCGACCAATCCTAAGTGAAAACTTGGAACATCGGCAATGTCCAGGACCAGGTGGTCCGTTTTCTTACACGGTCCAGTCGCAACGGTTGGACCTCCATCGCGGTCCAGAGACATGGTTCGATTCCCCCACGCGCAACTATCGAGAAGCAACAATGCTGCATGGGACCATCACGAATTCGGGACACCAAACGAGGCCGAAAGAGCAAATGTCGCATTCGATTAAAGACCGGTCAACACACAATAGCCCAAAAGCAGCACGGGGACGGGAGACGCAAGACGACGGGCCGAAAAAAGGGTCAAAGGGTCGCTGTCCCTGTCGGTCGCGTGATTGGATTGTGTCCTTTGAGAAAATTACTAGTGACTGGTATGGCAAGTTGGCAACCCTACGTGATTGGTTTCACGGTACCACAAATAGATTACAGATGCGCCTGTAATTAGTATAGAATTAATAGTACGAAAAATCCTAAACTGGTATTAAATTTATACCAAATTAATTTTTATCAGAAAAATTCTAAACTGATATATTTATAATAAATTTATCTCAAACTAAATTTTTTATCACCAAAAACTTCAAATCAGTACATTTATGATAAGTTTACCTTTTGTTAAATTAAATTAATACTACGAAAAATCACAAACCGGTACACCTATGACAAATTGAGGGTAAATCCCCAAAATGGTACACCCGTCAACTGTCACGAGTCATCCAACACAAAAATTTGACGGTAAAATTTAATAAAAATTAACGGAGGGTAAAATTGTCGTAAATGTACCAGTTTTGGATTTTTTATTTTCAAAAAATTATTTTAGGGCAAATTTATCATAAGTATACAAGTTTTTGGATTTTTCATAGTATTAACCCATTAGTATAATATCGAGTCAAGCATGCAACTTCTACATTCGCATCTCGTAGATTGGATATGCCGTCGGTTGTTATTATATTCGGTCGTAGTTAGATTTCTTCTCGTTGTGAACACGATTGTTATTTTAAGAAGTAATGCCCTCGGTCTCGAGGTTTTGATGTTGATATTGATGCAACTCCGGTCTCTAGGCGTGGCGCTTTGATCCGATGAATCACGTGTGCTAATCATGCGGATTCCACATGAATCACATAAGCAATACATTCGCTGCAAGTACATCTGATCGAGGAACGCGATCTGGGCAAGTAAGCTCGCCCGCTCCCACACATGCAGATACAAAAACGAGCAAAGCAACGGCTAAAATGTTAAAGTCAAATCGCAACGAAAGTTGGTTGAGGGAGTCGGCGATGATCATTGCCCCCAAGAAGGAAGTTTATTCTTCCTGTTAATATGCTCCGCATACGCAGAGTCATAAAAGATCCGTTGCTGGATTTTTGCCTTCCCAAGAAGAAGACATGGGAAACTGTTGTTCCTGGTGCTTCATGGCTATCCTCTGCAGAGTATCACCATGACCATTGATTGTCCTTGTGCTCCGGGACAATATATACAGTGTAGAATAGATCGCAAGTCCCTCCAAAAGTCTCTCAAACACAATATTATCTCTAGGAGTGAAACTCTGAATAATTAGCATCGAAGCTTAATGAGTCAGTGACATGTTGGATCGACTCTAATGTTCTTTCCAAAATAAAATCGATTTTTTCTTCCATTCTGTTGGTGTTCTGAAAGAGTTATTGAAGCTTCCAAAAAAACTGTCGGTAAGAAAAATTATCGGTCGGTTGGTTTTCCGTAACTTTTTGAGAAAGTTAGAGGACTTAATTATACAAAATCAGAAAGTTGGAGGACTTGATTAAGCAAAAAAAAATTTTCAATGTAGTTCATCTAGCCAGTTTAGGTCGGAGATCGCGGACGTAGCAATCTAGTCAGCGGTGACCGTACTACATGGCACGACCGGTACTAATGTCAATGATTTTTGTAATTTTTTTTTAAATTTTCTGAATATTTTCTTCTTCTTTTTTCTATTTTTTTCGTTCTTGCTCCGCCTGTGGCTGATCCTCAGTGATTGGCAGAGGAAAAAGATAAACAATAGGTGGAAAAAAAAAAGAAAAGAAAAAATTTAAATTTTTGAAAGATTGCAAAAATCGTTTATATTTGTGCCAACCATGCTACATAGAACAACCAGTGTCCATTTTAGCGATTTTTGGCCTATATTAGTTGGATGAACTACATTGGAAATTCATCAAATTGCTTACGACTGAATTGACCAACTTGGAAAGTTTATGACTGAATTGGTCATTCAAGATTTTTTGTACAATATTCCCGCTCTTTATCAAAATTATTTTCAAAAAGTAGTAACTGAATTTGAGAGTATTTTATTAAACAAATATCTTCAAAAAAGCAGTAAATACACATCGCATATCCAATGATGAATACGTAGAGAGACTTTTACACCGACAATGGACCCGATATCAACACGTTATGATAAGTCATTCTCTTTTGTTGAAAAATTTCAATCTCAGCAAAGGGGTTTCATAACTTTTGTGGGGTTTTCGGAAGATAGTCTTTAAATGTCGTTGCCTTCCAATTATGGAAGTCTCTCAGCTACTGTACCACGAATTACTTACTAAACTCCGACCCCATAATCAATCGGACCTACCCACCGCAAGCTTGTGGACATTAAAACGAAGAGAAATCTTCCTTTTTTCTTAGAACGCGCGACGATCCGAGCTGTCTTCCCTCCGAGGTTGTCCTTATCACCACCAGATCTAGAGGATACAACCACTTGTCTGAACTCTCTTTACACCGAATGACAAGTATCAAATCACGACGCTAAGTTAACCAGCTGAACACTGATCTCCCCATTCGTCTCCATGCCGTGAATTCCTTACGGACAACTTGAGAGCCCCCATGTATAAAGTTGTTCCTCTTTGGTCGCCATTGTCAAACCAGTAACAGTCTCTCACACTCGAACCAGAAAACTGAGACTTACTCTTTCAACCATGTACAGTCTCCGGACACACCTCCTCCCAACTCTGCTACCCACCTCCCTCCTCCTCCTCCTCCTCCTCCTCTTCCTCCCCCTCGACCTCCTCACCACCACCACCACCACCATCAAAACCCCACAAGCCGCCCCGCATTCCCACGTGCGCCGCCACCTCCAGGTCGCTCACTCCACTTGCCAAGGCACCCTCTACCCGGACCTCTGCGTCTCCACCCTCGCCTCCTTCCCCGACCTCGCCTCCAAGTCCGTCCCGGAGATCATCTCCTCCACCGTCAACCTCACCGCCGCCCAGGCCCGGGCCGCCTCCTCCAGCTGCTCCGACCTCCGGTGGCGCCTCGCCGCCAAGCTCGGCCCCCTCGAGCGCCGCGCCCTCGACGACTGCCTCGAGCTCCTCGCCGACACCGTCGGCGAGTTCAGGAAGGCCATCTCCGACCTCTCCTGCAAGAATGGCCCAACCGCCCCGGCGGCGCACTTCCACGACCTCCAGACGCTCCTCAGCGGCGCCATGACGAACCAGTATACGTGCCTCGACGGCTTTGCGTACAGCAAGCAGAACGTCCGGCACGCCATCGAGAGGAGCCTCGTCAACATCTCCCACCACGTCAGCAACTCTCTGGTCATGCTCAAGAAGCTGCCCGGCGTGAAGGGGAGGCCGTCCGGCTCGCCGGTTGCGGAGGTCTTCCCGGAGTACGGCAGGATGAGGGACGGGTTTCCTTCGTGGGTGTCGCCCAAGGATAGGAGGTTGTTGCAGGCTCCGGTGAGCGCGATAAAGTACAATGTGACCGTGGCGCAGGATGGGACGGGAAACTTCACCACCGTCAGTGCGGCGGTGGCCGCCGCTCCAAATGCCAGCACCACCAGGTGGGGGTCTGCCGACACTATGGAGTTAATGCAGTAGCTCAATTATTACTTTTAATTCTCATTCTTTCGTACAGCCGTCGGAGGTACCAAGATCTACAAAATAACATAAGTAAATTAATCTGGCATTCTTACTTTAGGTTATCGAATGTGCCCTACTTATCTATATACTTTGCCTGACCTATCATTTAGGATGCCAACTTTATAAATATATATATTTTGCGTCCATATTAGAATTCTCTATTAGCTGTTATCAATTAATCAATCACAACTCGGTTTTGATGAAATGATTGCATCCACCACTAACTGAAGTTCCTTTGTGGGATGTGCTCCTTGATTGGAAAACATTTTCAGGTTTGTGATATACATAAAGGCGGGGGCCTACTTCGAGAATGTGGAGGTGGATAGTAAGAAGCCGATGATAATGTTCTTGGGGGACGGCATCGGGAAGACGTGGATCAAGGGCAACCGTAGCGTCGTCGACGGCTGGACCACCTTCCGATCTGCCACCGTTGGTGAGTTCAACTCACCAATCGTTTTTCGACCTCTCCGTTCATGCATACAAGATTTCTCTTTCGAAATCATCTGATGAATTTACACTTCGGTTCGCCCTCGCTAACTTCACTTCTCATATCCCACGCGGAAAAATCACTTGCATGAAGCTATGAATCTCGAGTACGTTGTTGAGATCGTCCGGATGTTTGTATAGATTTGGTGTGACGCGAGATCAGTTTTGCTGAAATTAGGTTGGTGATGTTTGACTTGACATTAGTTGAGAGTGATATGTGTCGGACCACGGCGTTACAAGGATTTTAGATATATCTTAGATTAGAAGTGCAGCCGTGATTATTGGTTCCGGTGTGGGCACGAGGCTTGACTTTGTCATATTATTGCCTCGTTTTGTAGGCCTGTAGAGCAGCTCATGATCACATGAGCACCTTAAATCCTCTCACGACTTACGACGTCGGTGCGGTTTTTGTCTATGCTAGGCGAAGTAAATTACTAACCTTCGGTAAGAATTTAGTAGTTAGGATGTTACGGAAGAGTTTGGATTTGGCATTTAAACAATGCAGCAGTATCTTTTTTTAACAACATTAAAATATGACCACAAAGTGATGATTGTCAAAAGTTTGGTTAGTGTCGGTGGCATGGACCCGAGTTTACCCGCGTTTGTAGGGTCAGGGGGGGTGTTGGGCAAGAAGATTTGAAGAATTCTGGATGATATGCTCTTTTTGGGAGCACATAATGGTAAGCAGCTAAGCAGCAATACCAACAAAAGATATGAAAATCATCTTTTGAAATCACGGCGTAGCGGCCCATAAGAACCAAAATTGACTTCTATCTTCCATGTTGCACCATGTGTAGTATGTCCTATGTTGTGCTCATTGGGCAAGGGTGCACCCATTTCTCCTTGTTTGAAAGAAAGAACTCGACAAGGAGAGTCCAAGACCGTGATAGAACGATGTCGATTGGTGAGAAAATAACTTGTCGGGCCACATTTTCGTCCGTCTCTGATTGGGAGGAAACTTAATGGGTTACACAAACATGGACAATTGACGACTTTTTTTTTTTAGCTTGCATGTGGATAACGTCCATCTTTGAGTTATTAAAACCTTCGAAATAAAATCTTCTTGTGATGCGGATATTTTGGATTTTTCATAATTGGCATGAACGATATATTAAATCTCCACTAAGTTTGAGTACTGTCTAGAGATACTGAGATATTATTTAGCTTTACGCGTATTTGAAAACACGAATTTCGTAAAAATAAATTCAAAAGATTGTATGCACTGGAAATGTATTTTCAATGATGCTATTTTTTCATTTTGTCTCACCCAGTATTTGAAAACTTGATTTATTCCTTGATCAATACAAATCGGGTTAGATGAGAAGTTAAGATATATAAATTTTCATTTTTCATGTCTTATTTTTATCAAATTTCGGTTTAATGTTATTTTTTCATGCATATCTTGTTTTCTTCTCATTATTGATCAATTAATTAAGTTGGTAATACTTAATACTATTGTTATCAACTTTTTGGATCCGTGACTGAAATGAAGAATCAGGATTATACATATGGATCCTTAATAGAACTAGGATGTTAAGGAACAGTGTTTTGCACGTATGATTAGTGTCCTCATCTGTAACTGGTCCAAGCGAAGCTGATCGAATCTTAAGTGCACATGGGTGCTGTCCAGTTCTCGATGGTTGATATAAATAATCTTTTTTTCACAGTTTCAAACAGATAAGACAAGATATGGGTTGGGGCGCGTCCCCGACAACACCACCAATTCATCATCGACTCTCCTGGAAAATGCCGTGACTTTGACAAAAGCTTGTGAACTGAATAAGATAGTAAATTCAGGGACAATGTTCTGATTAGATCGCGCGCTTTTTTTAGCCTAATTCAAGTTTGAGATGCGGAGAGGCCGCATTTGCATGTGATTTTGTCCTATGGAAAGTCCCCATGTTGCAGCTTGCAGTGTGCCATGAGCAAACCCAAGAGAAAAATAATGTTGCGTTTGAGAAAGATCGATGTCTGCACGTACATTGTCGCTACGCATGTGTCTTCTTGTATACGTCCTTCAGATAATATTTCGAATGCTTATGAACGCTAACCCTTGTGGCGACGAGAGAACCTTACTACTGATGGAAAAAACATAAAGTGGGATTGGTCGTGACATTGAGCCTCAATTCGCGGATCAAAGTCTAAATGCATGTTCTGAGCAAACACAACAAAAAGGTCCTTCATTGATCAAGAGATAATAGATTTACTGACTGAGATCTTGATTGAAAACTCATTTTCATATTGCAGAATGTTTTCTTTTTCCCTTGACTTGATGCTTAGTTGGTGTTGTGATAGATTATACAGCTGTTGGAGTGACGCCCACTGTGTTTTTTCAGACCATTCTCATTAAGTAGTATTAGGTGCATGGCCTAAGATAGACATCATTTGGAAGATGATGCTGATCAAAGGTTCCTTGAAAGACACGAGAAGGATCATCTGAACTAAAAAAGTCACATGTAGGGTTTCTCGTCTAGTAAGCCTTTCAGTTGCATATTGCTATGTCATTTGGGAGTATAGATTACGAAACTGGAATTAGCACATCATGCATGTCATCTCAACATCTTCTCAACTTTTGACCCACTTTTTTTCTTTTTCCTTTTTGTTTCCTCAGCCGCGGTCGGGAGTGGATTCATAGCGAAGGGCATATCCTTCGAGAACTATGCCGGTCCGAGCAAGCACCAGGCCGTGGCCTTTCGGAGCGGCTCCGACCTCTCCGCCTTTTACGGTTGCAGCTTCATTGGCTACCAAGACACACTTTATGTCCACTCCCTTCGCCAGTTCTATCGCGAGTGCGACATCTATGGCACGATCGACTTCATCTTCGGGAACGCGGCCGTGGTCTTCCAGAATTGCAGCTTGTATGCACGCAAGCCGAATGACAACCAGCAGAACATATTTACGGCTCAGGGGAGGGAGGACCCCAACCAAAACACGGGGATCTCGATCCTTCACTGCAAGGTCGCGGCCGCGGCGGACCTGATCGCTGTGAAGTCCTCATTCAAAACGTACCTTGGTCGCCCATGGAAGGAGTACTCTAGGACGGTCTATATGCTGTCGAACATCGAAGACTTGGTGGACCCTGCCGGGTGGTTGGAGTGGAATGGGACATTCGCGTTGAGCACGTTGTACTACGGGGAATACATGAACCGAGGGTTGGGTTCAAACACGAGTGCCAGAGTGACATGGCCTGGTTATAGAGTCATTACCAATGTCACGGAGGCCACTCAGTTCACGGTCGCGCCCTTTATACAAGGAAATGACTGGCTCAATGGTACTACCATTCCTTATTATCCCGGTTTGAATTGAGAGCCATAGTAATTCTTGGACGCATCGACGTGTCAATTTATTTTCATTATCTGCTCTCGAAAGGTATGCAGATAAGGAAATTCGCAGAGATGCTGTGCCCACGGAAAAGGTTCCGTGTCAATTTGAAATTCAATAAAAGATCAAATTCACTGAGCATGGAGTGGTTTTCCAAATATTTGTGGTAACTTGTGTGTATGTCTGAACTGTTTTTTGGACTGAAAGTTTCATGAAAAAGATGAAGAGGAAACAAGAGCAACTTTGGGCTTAGCAGAGACCGACCCGAGTTCAGCCTAGTCCAATTCGGTTCAGGCCAAACTATTGCTTTTAGGCCGGGCCTTTGGGTCGGTCTAAGCCGGGTCCGATCAGGCCGTTTGTAGCACTAGGAAGAGCATGGAGCACAGGAGCTAATTATCCAGCTTGTTAGTTGCATGTAAGGTGGCCCATTGCTTCCTTGGCCTAGGCTAGACATGTGTAGTCTCGTCCTTGGATGAAAATAATCGACAGTAAAAGCTTTTTAAAGCGGGTGCATTTGATTTTAAAGAATGTAAAGAATATAGAATTTGGGAATTGGTAGCTCCAAATTTAATTTAAATATACTACAGATAAAAGCTTGCCCCTGCATGGCACAAACTCTAACATATAGGAAGATGATCTGTGGGATTTTACTAGAAATTGGTCTTTCAATTGCAAAGTCTAAGTCTTTTTTTTATTGTCAACTAAGTCTAAGTATTGGCCAAAAAAAACAAATTGGCATTGCGCAATCCCTACTTAGACTATCCTTTGTTGGTTTTTTTTTTTCCTGAAACTATCCCAAGTGAAGAAAAGCACCCGAAAAAAGATTTAGAACTTAAAAGGCAAAGAAACAAAGCAATCCAAAACAGTCCCTTGTTTTTAAGGCATCACAATATTTGTTTTCCCCTATGTTCACTCCAGGGATGCTCATATATAACACAACTTACGAAACACAACAGAAGGTTAATTACAGTATACGAGATAAGTTTGAAGCTTCTCCATTTGATTTAACTAACAAGACTCAAATCGATGCAACTTGATGGGTTTGAGTCAATGGCCTAGCGCAAGAAATCTAGAGAAAGCAACTCAAACGAGTATATTCAGCAACTAAACGATGGAAATGTACTTTCAAAAAATATCAGCTATGGCTAATGGCTGCAACAATCTCACGTTGCTTGGTCTTTGCAGACACCGATTACATATCATTCACAGCTGAAAAGCTAGCTAGCAGAGAAAACATGGTTGACAGAGTTTAACAACTGAGTGCTCGTACTTACTCTCATCGACAAGAACGCATGACGTAAGTAAACATGGACTTAAATCGCATACCATAATTCTTCTGATCGACGTGCAGCTCATTTTCGTCACTAGAATGTCCTTATTTATTCCATGTTACATCTTGGGGAAGTCATGATCTGGTTCTTAGTCATCCGGTAGTGTAGAATGAGTTGTACTATATAACCATGTCTACTTTAATTAGAATCTGCAAATTTCGGTTTTTTGAAATTGGATATTTTTTTCAATAACATGAAAGTCTAGATTTCAGATCCATGAAACATCTTATGTGATTAGGGAGATATATCACATCACTCGAAGCGAGACCATGTACAATGTGAAGTGACGTTCGACTTCACACGAATGATATTCATCGCTTAAATATATATATGAAGATGTCGGGATGAATGTCCACAAACTTTAAGTTTTCGAAAATTACAGGGTTTTCAATGTTAGAGATGAATGCCTTTACAAGAAGAGGTCTTTCATTGCTTGATCTTCATATCTGTTACACGTTGATCAGAGAAGCACGTCCTTCTCTTAGCATGCACGAATTTGCTTACCAAAGAATAGGGCGAATGTTCATTCACCTGAACATCTTCTTAGTTCATACATCACATCAAGATGTACGTCATAAATATATAAGAATTCATAATCAAAATAAAGATGCATGAAGTACATGCGACTGAGAGATACAGATCAATCATGTTCCTGAATTCGTTCATATAAATGTCATGTCATTGTGCTTCGACAAGCATTATTAATCTTTTCGTCTGGCTTATTGTATTATATGAATCATTGATTTCATGCTTGGGAGATTTAAATTACATTAATTTATTCATTGGTTTTTCTAAAAGAGTTCGCTTTATATAACTTTGTTCAATTTCTAAACGTAGAAATGACTAACTTTCAGGCTCCATTTATTTCCTGTCTATTTGGTTAATTATTTCAAGCGATACGAGTAATCATATTTTGAAAAATATTTTTCAGATCATTCATTTTCTACAAAATAAAAGGAGCAAGGCACAGGCTTTTCAGTGATATGCATGACCATTGCTTTGAAAATCGAACATTATCTCATTAAGTATAGTTTCAAGACTCTTGAACACGATCATCATATATTGCTTCAGGTAAATTAACAAGATGCAGAATGTATGTATCTAAATGTAATAGTGGTTAAAGTGGGAAGCGGAAAGACTATACTCATTGAATCAAATATAACCATCCACTTCATGATATATCTAATAACCATTTGAGAGAGAGAGAGAGAGAGAGAGAGAGAGAGAGATCCTAATTAGAAGATAGAAGGAGGTTGACACTTACGACCGACAAACCTAGGGATGCAACTTCTATACTTTAATAATCACGTAGAAATTTAACTTCTTTCTATCATTATTTTTTTATTTATTAAGAGTTCGTCTATTTTGCGAAAAATGAATGATTTGAAAAATATTTTCCTAAAAATGATCGCTTGTATCACTTAAATATTTTCATCATCCACAAAAATATTTAGACATAAATTATTATCGATAACAAAAAAAAATTTATTGACTAATTATTTCAAGCGATTATTTTTAAGGAAATGTTTTTGAAATTATTTTTTCTCTGCGAAACAAATAGAGCCTAGGTGACATATAACTTTAGCCATAGGATCCGGTGTGGATAATCTACCCTGCACCTTGCGGTGCCACAATGAGTTTCATTTGTTGATTTATGGAAATGACCCTTATTCCGATAGTTGAGATTTGTCGAGAGACACGGAAGAAGACATTCCATTAGCATTACGATGATAGACAATTGAAAAATGTCAGCATTACGCTTTGTCAAAAGTGAAACGATGCCTTTCTTCTCTGATCCTTGAGTGTCGCATATATCTTCGTTAGTTATCACTCGATACACCCAAATGTTCACATTGAAGTAATGCTTCTCCTCGTAAGTTGGGGTCATGTTTACGCCCTCACTCAATGAGTAAGCATGCAAGCATAGCGAGAGAGCTTTGAGTTCACGCGATTCCAATTTTTGCTTCAGTAGTTGCTTAGGGCCCGTTTGGTAACGTGCCAAATAGTGAAAATTTCTATTCTTTTGTTCCCAGAAATAGTTTGGGAACAGAAATGCGTTTGGTAAACTTTTTGTTCTCGGGCACATTTTTGCAAAAATTTGTGCCAAGAAACAGTTTTGGAAGAGAAACAAGAAGTAAAAAAAAGTTGCTTCTTGTTTCTCGGCACAATTTTGAGAATCAGTTTTTTTTCTTTTTTTTCTTTTCTTATTTTTGTGTTGTTCTTCCCTGGGCCGGCCGGCGACCGGCCACAGCCCAGGGTCGGCGAGGGCGTCACGGTCCTCGCCGGCCGCCGGCGGAGGCGAGGGTCGCCCTCGCCGGCGAGGGCGAGGGTTGGACCCTCGCCGCCCGGGCGAGGCGGCCTCGCCCGATCGAGCGAGGACGAGCCTCGCCGTCGGTCGCGACGGCGAGGTCGGCTCGCCCAGAGACGGCGAGGGTCCAGCCCTCGCCCTTGCTCGCCCTCGCCGGCCATGGCGACCCTCGCCCTCGCCGGCCATGGCCAAAGAAGAAAATGGGTAAAAAGAAAAAAAAATTAAACAATTCAAAATATTATTTGGGAACAGAAATTTTGTGTAGTTACCAAACGCATTTCTGTTCTTTTCTACTCTAGGAATAGAAATTTTGGACAGTTTATCAAACGCCTTCAAATACTCTGAAATTGTTTCCGGGCACAGAATAAAAAAAAATCATTTCTGTTCAGAAATAGCTCCCGGGCACAGAATGGTATTCATGCGCACCCTTAATGTACTTGGTCGTGTCCGTCAAGTTGGCTTGTAGTAGCTAGAGCCCGATCAGCCCTAGCCGCTCGAGATTCGCCTCGTGGCTCTCTGGGTTTGACTCAAGAGACTTCATGCAGAAGCTGAAGTTATAGTCTGGATCGCTGTCTGCAAGCTTCTTGCAGGTGTCCAGAACAATGTCCTTTCCGGATTGAACACGATGGAAGACAAGGGAAAGGATCAAGAGCATGAAGAGATTGAGAATGCACGATTCATTTTTCTTATCATGAAGATGGGAGCTTGTCACAAAGTTTTCTTATGAAGACAATGTATTTGTACTTATGGATCAAATGACTAGTTATGTTATATTTAATAGCGAGCACATGTCATTGCCATCAATAGCGATCCCTCATTAAAATTTGAGAAAAGATATATCCGTGCAAGGATCGTGCAAGGTTAGTGAAATGCATCGTGTACTCGTGCACTTGAATGAATTTTGTTTGGATTTCATTTTAAATCCATTCTAGTTTAGAATGGATTCGGGATATTTAGGTGTTGCAATGAATTTTTCTATTAAATTAATCTCATGCAAGTTTAATAGGTTAATTGGGTAACATGTGGATTGTTGCCAATAATGCAAAGGCGTGTATGCTAGTCACAGCCTATGTTGCGCCGACACGCTCTCAGAGCCACCGTGTCGGTGTCGGACACCGACACGCGTCCGACATGCTCGGACACGCGGTCAAGAGATGTTGGACATCCGACACGCGGTCAACGCATCGGACACGCCGGCGACACGCGTGTCCTTTGTTACCGAGAGAGATGAGGAAGAAGGTGCAGCCAAGAGAGACAGATGAGAAAGAAGGTGCCAAATCTCCGGGGCCGAGGACGACACCCTCCACGCCATCATCTCCCTCGCCTCCCGCTTCTTCGGCTTCGAGGTCGACGCCCTTCACGCTATCATCTCCTTTGCCTTGCGCTTCGCCGGCGACGGAGGAGGCTGCGAGTCGTGCGAAGGAGGAAGTTAGAGAGAGCAGGAGGCGGAGAAAAAGAGAGGAAGATGTTATTACTTAGGGAAAAAATCACCAAAAACCCCA